CAATATTATTATTATATTACCAGTTTGTAATGATGCTTGTGCTGCCAGTTCTCTGCTTTCATCAGTTTATGTATTCAACCAGTTTGTTTACTGTAAAATCATATTGTATCTCATGAATATATAGGATATCTGAAGTTTTTTTTCCTTTCTTGTGGCAAAAGTGCTTATCAGTTGGTGAATCATATGTGTCAAACTCAAGGTCTGCAGACCAAATGTGGCCTTCCACAGTYTTTTATGTGACCTGCAAGAACTTGAAAGATGTATTAATGTCCTAAAATAAGCATAGCTGCTTTAAAGCCAGCATTGACCATAAACTAAATCTCCCATAATGCATGTTGATTATTTTACCCGTAAAATGACTGCATCCTACTACTACCTGCAGGTGCACAGAGTTCAAAATTAGCCAGCTGTTGGAGAAATTTTTGCTGTGGCCCATTTGTTTTAGTTGTAAATTTTAACTGGAACCCCTCCAGTGGAAATCCCCTTCCAAGTTCAGAATTCAAGATGGCTGCTACTCAAAACAACTCAACAATAAGTAAAACTCTCTTACTTTTAATTTTAATAGTATTTACATTAATATCCCACATTTAGTCAGTAGTACACATAGTACTTTTCAATGTTTATTAGAGGACTTGTTAAAATACTGTTTCTATGCAGGAAATACCACACAGAGCTCAGTTTGTTCGCAGTGCTCAGTCATATCAACGAGACAAAATGCATGACATTTTGTGTTTAGTCGAAGTTAAGCGTAAAATATCAAAGTTAATAACAGATACTTTGAGTGCCACCATGATGCTCATGTGGCCCTCGGTGAAAATGAMTTTGACACCCCCGTGTGGRAGTGGAACTTACTTCTCATTTAGCAAATTAGCTTTTTTGCTAACTTTGGAAATCGTTAGTAGACTGATTAGCTTCCGCTAAATTAGATTCAAGTTAGTTACAAGTTAGGCAGATCTATAACTCTGGTTTGGATTGGCTGATTTGCCACAAATGATCCCAATCACCTTAAGAATGAACCAATAGAAAACTAACACTAGTTTGTGACAGTCCCACCCATCTTTAATCTTTTGATTAGCTGTGCCCACCACTGTTAAACACTTAAAACACATAACTGTGGCTCCATGTGTCACAAAAAACACCAAATCTGTCTGATTATTTACTTTCCTATAAACCTTTGAATCAGGTACCATAACAGTGACATTAATTCTGCTCTTTCGAAGTTTCAGACGTCATTCATCACGTGACTTTTGCCGAACAAATCAAGCTTCTGAAACAGTGTCTTGTTTTGTTTTTGTACAAAKACGCGCCACAGGTTTAGCTTCAATTCCAGATAGTGTTACTAAAATATTTCCCTCTTTACCTGTTTTCAGAGATCAGRCTTCAGCCTCTAATGAAGCTGGAAGAACCAAACCCCGGAAGCCAGAGGCGCCGTTATCAATCAGTGTTGGAGTTTTCAGATAGCACTCACAACCAGGACTTGTAATGAGGCAGTGAGACGCCATGTTGCTTTTACGACAATCCGACTCCATCAGTCTTGTGCAGTTTGAGTTTTGTAGAACAGCGCTAGTCTTTGTGAAGTGCCACATAAATCATATATTTATTTTTGCTTTTTATCTTTGTGGTGCATCAAAAGAATGATTTGATTTTTTGTTTTTGTGCTGTGATTTGGATTTTCTTTTCTCAGCGTTACAGCTTTTAGACGATCCGTCTGTTTTCTCATCACTACAAACTGTTCCAAACTGACCAACCACACCTCTTTAACAAGAAATCCTTTGAGGAAACCTTTTTTTTATATATAGTTACATGGATCAAAAGGTAATTAGATGCAGTACATTTACCAGGTAATTTCTGTTAGTGTTTATAAAAAGATATTTATCTGATTATGATTGTTAACTAGAGTTTCTATTAACTAAAAGGTTAGAAATGTACATTGATGATTCTCACTTTTTCCTCTTCAATAAAACCTTTCTTGTATAAAAAGCCACTTAAAGAGAGAACTGCCTTCAGAAAAAGCCTCATAAAGTACAGTTAGTAATTCCTTTTTTCTAATGAACCCATCACTGTGTGAGCAGTAACTGGATTTCTACACTTGTTTTCAGGGAGATGAGAGATAGGCCTTAATGTGGAGGAGCTTTGTCGCTGCTCTGTTCCCTACCTCACTCTCAGACTCTCCCTCTCCTCCTCTTCTACCTCTTGTAACAATCTTTTACTCTGAACGGTTTCTCTGCTCTGATCAAAATAAATCCCAACAATTTAACGTTTAAAGAAATGTTTAATTCTTCAGCTTTGTGCATTTAACTATGCTGGCTGTACTGTATGGAGCTCAGAGTTTTTTTTAATCTAAAAAGATTTTTTGATGAATTTGTTTACTCCTGCTTAAGAAACTTTTTGTAACACTTGATTATTTGAATGTGAGGATCCATGGGATTTCATATTATGATTTCAGGAGATGATTTGATGTTTTTACATGCATGCATTACATCTGAACTTCAGGGAATTAAGATTCTTTTAATTTACGGTTTTTGGATAAAAAAGTGAATTTTTGATGCTGCTTCTCATCTGTCTGGCCTTGGTAAGTGTCAAGAATTTGCTAAAAAACATGTTTTGTAATTTGTATCCTGGGTGGAATTACATTTTGTGTTTTTAAGATAACGTTCTAGTGTTACTGATACATTTTATGTTGCATTGATAAGAACTGATCTGCTGTAACGATGCAGTGGAAATCTGTTTGTATCCATGTCGAGCTGCGCTTGCAGAGCATATTTTATGAACAATAAATAAACGGTGGTATTTGTGTGCAATCCTTTAAGCTTTGTACAGAATCTTTGCTGTCTGCTTGGCAGTTTTTGTGTTTTATCTTTTAGTCATTTTTTAAACCATGTTTTCCAGGAACATATTTACTCAGTAACTTTTCAAAGAGTTAATGTGACATTTGGCACAAACATTAAAGCTCGACACACATTGATTTCATGTCAAGTCAACACCGCTGCCAGTCTTCTCTAGCAGCATCACAAACTGGCACAGCTCAAAAAATAAATAAAAATCTTCATAGAGCCACCATTAGAATCTTTGTTTCTTGTGTCCTTTGTGTATTAACTAGTTTATTACAGTGAGCTGATTATAAATACTTAAAACAACTTCATATTTGATTGTGTTTCCTTAACAGTTATAACCAATTATAAACCTATTCAGTTTGTTGAGGTTGTGTGTGGTGCTTGAATAATGTCACAATTATTAATTACATTTAAAGCTGCAGAAATGTTTACATTAGTAATATTCAGTTGTCGCTTTAATAACAAACTATGTAAATCAGGCCATTCAACTGGTGGCCTGCGGGCTGCTTTTGGCTCACTTATTACTTCAGTCCGGCCTACCGATAAGTTCATTAAAATTAAAATTTTAAAAATATTTTTTATAAGGCTTGAATGACAAATATTATTGTCAGAGTGGCTATTCTGTTATACAGATTATCTACGACAGGTCTATACACCTTAGTCTGCCTGCCAATTACTTAATTTAATGTAAAAACAAATTCTAAATAAAAAGAAAACAACTTAAAGTAGACTGTTTTTATTTAATTAGATCAGAGTGCTCCATGGTGGTGTGGTTGTTGCCTCTCAAAGAGGTCACCTGACTGAATCCTAACCGCGAACTTCTCATGTTCTCTCTGTGCATGCATGGGTTTTCCCTGGGTGCTCTGGTTTCCTCCCACAGACCAAAAACATAAATGTTAGGCCAACTGGTAACTCTAAATTGTCCCTATTAGTGAGAGTGTGAATGGTTGCTTGTCTCTATGTGTCCTTGTGATGGACTTGCGACCTGTCCAGGTGTGTCCCCCGCCCCTCACTCAGTGACTGCTGGACAC